GATAATAAATATATATATAAAAGATAATAGATAGATATATATATATATATATATATATATATATATATATATATATATATATATATATATATATATATATATATATATATATAAAAATCTTGCAAATATATATATAAACTTTCAGTGTCTCTTAAATTTGAATACATCTTGAATGTTGAAAAGAAGTATATATATATACTACAAAATAAAATACCAATTTTTTGCTCTATCAATCTTAGTTTAATCGTCTATAATACACTAACAATCGATATTAAAAATAAAATCATTATCACAGCCATATTCACATGAAGGGACCACTTTAAGCAATCTGTGTATGTAAGATCCAGGATAGGATATATATATATATATATATATATATATATAAATAAAATATATATATATATATATGCGTATACATGTGTGTGTCGAAGCGTTATTTCATTTGAAGACATTGAGGGCCAATTTGAAATATGTCAAGAAGTCCAACCCAACCGTTTCCTTGTTGAGAGAATTTTGCTACACACTTTCTCTCGACACGGAAATGAAATTCAAATGGCGTTTGTATATCTGATCGAACACATGGATATACATATCTGCGCCCAGTCCCACATTGTTTATATATATATATATATATATGTGTGTGTGTGTGTGTGTGTGTGTGTGTGTGTGTGTGTGTGTGTGTGTGTGTGTGTACTAATAGGCGTACATCTGTATGTATGTATGTATGTATGCATGCAGTGATATTCCAAGCGTAGCTTAGATGTGGCACAAGGCCAAAAGTAGGGGAGCACCATTACTCAGTCGTAATTGTTCTAGCGAGATAAGCTTGCTAACCATTTCAACGCCCCGAGGTGTGCAATATGTATGCATATGTATGTATGTATGTATGTATGTATGTATGTGTGCGTATTATTAATGTCATCACAAAAGGGACACAGGGAAATTTTTCTCATACACTCCTATCCATACAACTAAATGCCAGCTGACAATGAGCGCTTTCCTATAATATATATATTTATATATATATATATATATATATATATATATATATATATATATATATATATATAAAAATAAAAAAACAGTAATTATATAATCAATATAACAGTGCTCAATGTAAATTTACAGAGCATGAATATTATAAATTTAATTGTGATGGATATATATATATATAATCTACATATATCTTACTCTGTCCTGGACACTGTGTTCTACCTGGCTTCTGTCCTCTTGGAATTTATATTTATATACACACATAAGTATAAGTGTGCAGGTATACTGGAAATAGAAAAGAACACGTTGGGTGCATAATCCGGAGTTCCTTAGTATTTTTGTTTTTATTTTTAAGAAGACAGTGCTCCATACAGAAGTAGAGCTTTATTATAATAATATTTTTTTGTTTAAAAATATGATTCCTTCGCTACATAAGAGTTCTCATGTTTCAAAAACGAGACCCAAAATCATTCAAATAATTATTAAAATTAAGTTGAATTGAGGTGTTTAGTCTCGTTTCATCTTCAAGCGAAATTTTGAAACGAGACAACTTAATTTTAATAATTATTTGGATGTTTTCGGCTCTCGTTTTTGAAACATGAGAACTCTTATGTAGCGAAGGAATCATATTTTTAAAAACAAACATATATATATATATATATATATCTTATATGTATACTGAACTCTGATATTATCTATCTATCTATCTATCTATCTATCTATCTATCTATCTATCTATCTATCTATCTAATTTTAATCTCGTGTTCCTCACATTAAACAGACCTTGTGTCACAACCTGACCTTTGGAGATTTGAGTAAATACAAAAAAAAATACTCCTGGGGATTATCAGATTCAAATGCAATTTTCAGTAACTTAACGAATGAATGTTTTTATTTACTGAATCGGTTGGTAGCAAATCAAAAATTTAATCAAACTCAGAAATAATATCTACGCAAAGTAGTTAAAAAGTTTATACAAATTTCTTGTTTAGTTTTTTCGCCGTTAAAATGGCGGTTCGATGAGTGACAAAATGAAAGGGAAATGTTTTTGAAAAAGCTTCAACTGATTATTTATACGGAAATTAATTCTTTTATTTAATTCGGATTAACTTGAAGTTGTTATTATTTCTCAAACAGAATCAACATTTAAGTTGGAAAATGGCATTTTTTTCGATTTGTTCTTCGATAGAATTATGTACGATTATTTTTCCCTCAAATGAAGAGTGAAAGACGTTGGATTAGATAAATTGAAAGATAAAGATAGAGACTGAGAATAAAATAGATAGATAGATACATAGACAATGAAAATTGAAAAGATAGAGAGAGAGAGACAGTAAGTCAGTTTGATATATAGACGGACAGACAGGTAAAGAGATAGATAGATAGATAGATAGATAGATAGATAGATAGATAGATAGATAGATAGATAATATAATATATTTATAGATAGAGTTTTTATAAAATAGATAGACAGACAGAAACAGATACAGACAGCTAGATATGGCATATAAAAATAAATGTTCTGCAGATGAGAACTCACTGAGTCGTCCATTGAGATAGATGAATAGACAGAGATAGAATAGACAGATAGATAAACACATTATATAGATAGATATATCCAGACGAAAGATACAAAACAGTTTATTATATGGCAAAAGGAAGGCCGATTATTAGTAGGACACCCAGATGAGGATCCAGAACTAGACTAACTATTAGTAGTATATCCACAAAGTGATTAAATAGATAGATAGATAGATAGAGTAGATAGATAGTATAGTATTATTAGAAAATTATTAGTTTTTATAAACGTTTTCTATGAGATAAAATGCCTTGAACTTTAAAAATTAAAACACTAATTGAACAGACAGATAGCAAGTAATTTATTCATTAAATATTAAAAAGTTAATTATTCTATTATTTTGTTTTTTTTTTGATTCAACCTTCGATCCAAGCTGAAAACATTGTCCTCAATTCAATAATGAAAAAAGTTGGTTTTACTTTTATTTTCCTCGACGAACAATTGACCTAAATTTTGGATTTCTTTGCCACGCAAAAATGAATTATACAAAAGCAGAAACAGTTTAAACACACACAAAATATATATATATATATATATATATATATAGTATATATATATATATATAGTATATATATAATATTTATATATACAGTATATATATATATATATATATATATATATATATATTATTATATATATATATATGTATAATGTATATATGTTTATATATATATAAATATATTTTTGAATTTATATTATTTAATACAAAATATATAATATACTATATATATATATATATATACCATGGATTGCAATTTAGTCTCAACAAAAGTCTTATCATTTATCCATTAATATATATATATATATTATTATTATTATTATATATTTTAATTATTATTATTTATTGTAATTTATTTTTTTTTTCAACCTTCGATAAAATTTTTAGGGTTTCAAAAACAACTGAACTCTTTCTTTCAATAATTTTTAAAAAACTATTTTAATGGATGTCATTTATCTTTATCTAATTTTTCTAACTCGAACTCACACTTTTGGGTCCTTTTGGTGTAACTAACGCCTTCATCCATTGTGCCATGTGTCCTTGAGGAAATCTGTATGGGATTTCTGTCTATTTAAACCTCATGTCTTAGAAGAGAGAGAGAGAGAGAGAGAGAGAAAGAGAGATGATAGATGGACAGATAGATAGATTAGATAGATAGGTCGATAGATGCTGTATTTAGATACATAGATCATATGACAGAATATTTATATATATATATATATATATATATATATATATATATATATATATAACACCAGATCATATGTTTCATGCTAGACACAATCGTCTGTCATGAAAAACAGCAAATCGCCTCTGAGTGTTGACTTCAATGTTCACTTTTATATTTATATTTACATAAGCTCTATCTTTGATATTGAGCACTTTTATCCCATAAATAAAGAACAGTTTAAAACTAGATTTATTCATATACATATAGTCAGACAGACAGAAATACAGACAGACAGGTTGGTAAATGGACAGATAGAGAGATAGACGTAGATAGATAGATAGATAGATAGATAGATAGATAGATAGATAGATAGATAGATAGATAGATAGATAGTGAGACAGAAAGTCACATACACATCCAAGCGGACACACATTCACACAGTGAAAGCCAGACACACACACGTACGCACAAATAGTTTGATTATTAAAAATAAAAATTGTTTTTCAAGTTAAATTATTAGTAGTATTAGTATTCATATCAGTAATAGTAGCAGTAGTAGTAGTTTAAACGTTTCGTCACGCGTAAAAGTCTTTGAGAATTCAAACATTAATTTCTATCGACTATAATCATGGATCAAGTGACAACAAGTCTCTTTAATATCCATCAAGCCTGCTATTATTATTATTATTATTGTTGTTGTTAATTTCTTTTGATTTGATCTTTGATAAAATTATTTCTCAAGACATTGTCTTCAACTAAATAGTGAAAGAAGTAGTTTTTGCTTTTATTTTAGCAGATATTATTATTATTATTATTATTATTATTGTTTTTGGACATTTGATTCGGTTTTTAAAAAGCTAGATAAAATTATTTATCAAATGCTTGCCCTTTAAATCATTTAGATTGGATTAGATATATCAATAGACAGAATTAGACAGTAACGAACTTGATATATATATATATATATATATATATATATATATATATATATATATATATATAAAGATAGTGTGTGTGTAAAAAACAGATAAAACTACAGAAATATTTAAAATTTGTATATCATGCTAACACAATCGTCTAGCATGAAAACAGCAAATCGCCTTTTTGTGTTGAATAGAATGAACTACAGATAGATTATATTTATATTTAAATAGATAGATAGATATCTTTGATATTGAGCACTTTTATCCCATAAATAAAGAACAATTTTTAAAAACTAGATTTATTCATATACATATAGTCAGGCAGACAGATTCACAGACAGACAGGTTGGTAAATGGACAGATAGAGAGATAGAACAGTTTCATTATTACAATATGGTTTCATAAATTATTATAGATAGATAGATATTATAGATAGATGTAGTAGTAGATAGATAATGTTTGTGAGATTAAAAAAAAGATTGCATTTTTTAAATTTATAAGTTATTGACACATTCACCATGTGAAAGTGATACCAAGTCTTTCAATATCCATCAAGCACTAATAGTTTTATTATTATTATTAAAAATAACCAATGAGATTTGTTGATTCACCTAGTAATGGTTTTATTGGTTGAAGTTTTCCGTACGTAGGGGTAAGATATAGACTGTTCTGTTACTAGGGGGTGATAGGTAGGAAAAGGACGAGTCTACAATATGTTCGAAGAAAAAGTTCACATGAAATTCAGAAGATCTCAATTTGACATTGAAAGAAAAGTATTACATCAACCGTTATCATTTTGCGCACACGGATATATATATATATATATATATATATATATATATATATATATATATATATACACTCAACTCTCCCGACGTATGAGGGTCAAGCAGATCCGTTCCTATGAACCGACAGCCCGAAATCAGCACATGAAATTTGATTACAGTGTTGAAGATTTTGTGCAGAACCATCCACACATTTTGAAGGGCCGAATACAGAAACCTGGTGCATTATGTGCCACAATCTCCCCAAACGACCCTCCGCAGGTTTTGAGTCAGAGTTTTCTTTCTCCTAGACCAATTGCCATGCAAGGCTTTAGAACCCAGTCTGTCCTGCTATTTACCCATACCTAGAGGGAGAACAAGAGGATTAATACCTTTCATAAGGGTATTAACACGTAAGTGAATGTAATGGATTCGCCTGGAATTCGAACTTGGCTCCCCGATTCCTTAATACAAGCTTCTATTTTTTACTCCAATCTCTCTTTATATATAATTTTAATGAAATGTATTTTGGCTGGATTCGAATCAACAAACGTACTTTTCATTCTTTAAATTCGCATTTTTCTTATATACCCTACCGATACTCTATCAAGGATGCGGCCACGAAGAGTAGACTTCAGTTACATTGATAAACCTATTTACATCAAGATTAACAGACTTAGTGATTGTCTTTGACTGTTTAATATGATGAAATTATTGGGTTGAAATTAGCTCAATTCTATTCATTAAACTATCTGTAAATCTATAATGACTTTTTCAAAAGAATCATTTAATTACAGAGATGTGATTTATGACTTGATAAGCAAATTTACATTATTTATTTGGTTAGAAGAAAAGATTTTAGTGATGTTTTTTAATGGTGGTACCTGGACATGTGATTTAAATGTTTTTATGTGAAAATGAGATTCGTTTTCATCATTTGATGCTTTTTTATTTCCAGAAAATAAAAAAATTCTACAAATAGCAAAAAAAGATATGTGCTATAGTTGAGAGAATTGTAAATAGTTTTCTAAGTTCAGGAGTAGAAATTTTGATCAGGAAAATCAAGAATATTCTGGTAGGCCTGCAATCTTTGATGATGATCAAATCAAAATGGTGATTAAAAGTAGTCTAGGTCACATGATATACTTTGCATATATGAAATATTTGAAAACATTTGGATATGTGAATTACCAAAATTTTTGGGTGCCTCATGATTCAATAGACTATTTATGGGTTATGGTTTGATGATTGACTCAGCCTGTCTAAATCTGTTTACCTTTTTCCTTTAATGAAGTCTTAGTTGTGTTAGTAATATGTTCTACTACATGATAAACTTCCATCTGATTAGTTTGAATGCATTTTTTCTGTAAATTGGCAGACAAAATGTTTCTATAAACTTCTGAATTAATCCTGTTGCTAGCATTATGAGTTACATCAATAATAAATATGAATGAGCCTGTTCTGCAAGCAGGCAAGCAGGCAAGCAAGTCCAAGCCAATGTACTCCCTCCATCATGCCTCACAGATGATCTTGTATGCAATGTTCAATGTTCAATGGCTCTGATCGATTTTCCTTTTCTCTGCTTCAAAATGGCTTGCTCTGATAGTCAGCTATTTCATCTTGATGTTGATTTATACTTTTTAACAATGAATACAATGTTTACAGGTAAAAGCCAAGACTAAAGCCAAGAGTAGTAATTCAGATTTATTTAATGTTTAAACAATTTAAAAAGCAATACCTCGGCAACAAGTAACACTTGTCAGTCATGTGTGCTACTAGATTTGCTCACCTGAAAAATTTGTGGGTTCAAATAAAAGGTGGTATGTCTGAAGTTGTTTAACACGTGTAAATGTAAATGTCAGGAAATAAAAGCTGAAATTCTGAACTCTTGTCTCATATTTATATTTTAATCTTAAACTCAGATATCTTCAGTGAACAACAAAAACAAAGGAATTGGCCTTACCATTCCAATATTTTTGGAGAGGACTGTATGAAATATAGTTGTAAAGTATCTTATATTTATGGGTAAATGTTAATTATCAGAGATAAAGTTTATGTAGATATAAAACTGG